ATATATATATATATATATATATATGTATATATACGTATTATACGTATGTATGTATTTATTTTTTTTATTATTTACTGGTGATAACACCAATCAAGAAGTAGTCAACTGTGTAGTACCTGGCGGTCTAGGCGTTCAGTACGACAGACCGCCAGGTACCATCCTCACCATCTCGATGGCTGGCATTCCACAACCGTTCAGTTTTAGCGGAAGTTTCCGCAAGGTGGTTTTGTAGAACGGTCTGCCTGGTATTTCCGAACCAATACGACTTAGGGTCCTTCAAGAAGCGAGCCTATCATTTCCTCAAAGGCAACGCATCTGTAGCTCCTCTGGTGCTGCGGATGTCTGGGCGTCGTTGACGCCGCTTGTTTCCTCCTTTTTATTATAAAAAAAAATGAAAATGAAACTTTTACTGAAGTACACAATGAAAAAAAATCTTTACATCACGGGAACAACTAATCAGTAACTTCATACCCTGGAGTATCATTTAGTTGTCTCTCCCCTGCTCATAGTAATCTACCTCCAGGTGAATGAGGAAGTGAACAAATTGACCCGAGCGATGGGCACCGGGTCAGTGACATGCGCGTGCACCGAGAGAGGCTTCACTGTGACAGCTGCGGGGGCTGCGGTCCGTGTGCTTGTCACCACGCTGCATCAGAACCTAAGGAAGTTGGAGCCCGAGGTAAGTTGGGATATATCTAAGTATACTGACATAATCTAGTTTGCTCCGACTTCCGGTACCTCGGCTCATTAATTCAAAGCGACTGCGATATTTACCGTGACGTGAGAAATACAATAAAAGCGGGATGGATGAAATGGCAGTGGTAGTGCCCGCTTTAACATCTTCGCACGAATGGGCCGGCTCGCCCCCAGTAATACCACGACCACACAGAAGACAGCCGTGAAGTGGAAGTAATTCCGTGTTTCGTCTGATGAGTGTGGTGCCGGAGGCCTAATTTAAGTCCCTTTCTCTTCCACCCTTTTCTTATAAGGAGAGGACGGGAAGAGGAAGTGGATTTGACGGTGGAGGAGATGCATAGGAAGGGACAATATCCTCTTTATGTGCGTCTCCTTCTCCGTCGAATAAGGGTAGGCAACGCATCTGCGATCGCGGATGTCTATGAGCAGCGGTCGCTTCGCCATTTTGGCGACTTCAGGTGGCCGCTTGCTCGTTTGCCACCTTATGTTATAAAAAAAAAATGGTGACAGGTTACAGGTGTAATATGCATATTCCCCTTAAAATGAAGGGGAAAATTTACAAAACCGTCGTAAGACCTGTCATGATGTATGGATCTGAATGTTTGGCAGTAAAAGGGACGGATGAAAGGAGACTACATGTAGCGGAAATAAGTATATTAGAGGAAGTTTGAGAGTAGCCCCAGTGGTAGAAGGTAAGGAGTAAAAGGTTAGCATGGTAGCATGTTATGAGGAGGGATGAATGGCATGTTAGTTATGAATGTGGAGGTACACCGGTAGAGGTAGACATAGAAATGGATGGATTGCGTGAAAGGTGACATGATCAAGAAGGGAGTGACTGAGATGACGGATGATAGAGTTATTTGGAGGAAGTAAACCCGGTGCGTCGACCCTACGGGAATAGGATAAGGCGGGGGAGATGATGATGATGTCTAATATAATCTATATGTCGGAATCGATGCAACACTAGCGCCATCGTGGCGATAATAGCACTAACATTGCAACACTAGCCACATTGCGGAAGTAAAGAGTACTACGTAACGCCAGCGCCGCCTGTCGGCGTTTGATGGAGTCAAAGTGTAAAAGGGGCCGAAGGAGTGGAGCGGAGCGCAGCTCACTACGGCGGTGTCAGTCAGCAAGAACTCTCTTCTAGAGTGACCGGCAACAAGAGCACTTCAATAGTGGCTGTGAGAAGGAACGCACTTGTTTCGTGGCTCTCAGCGGGAACGGTGCCGTTGAAACCATCACGCGTTATGGACTCTGCCATGAATGGAAACATATCTCCAGCGACAAGGAAACTCACTATTGACGGAATAACCTACCCTGTACTACGACATATACTATAATAATAATAATAATCATTTAATCCATTCATAAAGCAAACACTATATAATATATTACACAGTTAAAAACAAATCTGATTAACGTAAGATTGTTACAAAGATATACAAAAAAGAAAAAAAAATATATACATACACACATTAGTAAATATAAAATTATGAATAAATTTTTTTTAATGTGTTATATAATAAAATTGGATTATCTGTAACATCAAAGGAAAAAATCCAGATTTCGGGAATATTATGTATTTGAATTTCTGATAACGAAGGTCGCATTTAAAAAAAAATTGTATGAAAAGTGACGATATGATATGATAGAGTTATGTGGAGGACAAAAACCTGTTGCCTACAGGAGTACGATACGGAGAGAGATGATGACCAGCAATTCAACTTCTACCCCGAGCCAACTAATGTAGACATTCATATTCCAGGTGCATCTGGATTATAAGGTGATCAGCAGCCACCTGGCAGCTATCCGACACAGCAGGTGGTTTGAAGAAAACGCCCATCATTCCTCCGTCAAGGTATATCTATGCTAATATAAAGAGGAAACCTTTGGATGTTAGGATTTTTGTATGTATGGATGACTCAAAAACTACTGGACTGATTTTAAAATTTCACCATTACAAAGATAAATTATCGGTAAGTGACATAGGCTATGTTTTTCATATAACGCAGACAATGTCGCGTGCAGCAGCTAGTCAATACTTCTATACTAATATTAAAAAGATAAAAGTTTTGTATTTTTGCATGTATTGAAATAACGTAAAACTACTATTTTAAAAAAGATAAGTTATCTGTGAGTAACGGCAATGCTTTTTTTTATTTAATTTCACACAGACGAAGTCGCGAGCAACAGCTAGTCTTATATAAGAAATGTAGCTTTTGCACGCGACTTCGATGGCGTGGAATTAAAAAAAGAACAATGAAAAAAAATAGTCTATGTTACTCAGTAATAAGCTTTTTAATTGTGACCGAATTTTTGGAAATGACCCAGTAGTTTTTGAGTTATTTAAATACATACAAAATACTTAAATAGGAAAATACAAATCTTCCCACTTTATATAATATTAGCTTTCGCCCGCGACTCCGGTCAAGTGAAATTATAAAAAAAAAAACAGAAGTAAGTACCCTATGTGCTGCTTCAGACTGTCCTCTACATAAGTAAATTTCATCGAAATCCGTTCAACAGTTTAGGCTACAAACTCTAACAAACATCCATCTAAACTTTCGCATTTATAATATTATTATAAAGAGGAATTTGTATTTTAGTATAATAAAATAAAAAAAACTTCTTATTAGGTATTAATCCGTCTTCTCCGCGACATGTGCGCGCGTCACGCGGGGCTGGAGCCCCTCACACCCTGGATGATAGACCTGCTGGCTCACCACTGCATCATGAACAACCCTGCGCGCCAGGCGCTGCCCATCAACGTCGCCTTCAGGTACCACAGCAGCAGCCAAGGGCATATCTATACTATTATAATAAAGCGTAAACACACTTCTTTGTTCCCCAAGATGTCAGCAATTACACCATATTTTTGAATAATTCTTTCTTTAATAAAAAGCCCTACAATTACGTCACGCTTTAGGCTATATATTTTCACGCCATTAAACTTAGGGGGTAAATATTTTAGAAAAAAACCCTAATAAAGAAAAGGGACATTAAGTTGCTGCCAACATCAAGGAAGCAAGATTGCTAAGGTTTGTCAAGTCATGTCATTTTGACATTAGCTATTGATAATTTGACAAATGTGAACAATAAAATAAAATTTTTATAATTACATGTGGATGAAGCCGCATGGGAACAGCTAGTGTATTTTATCAAGGTCTTGACCAACCAGCTTAGGGGGTGTCATGACACCCACGTCATTATTATTAACTAATATAGGGGACAATTTTAGTAATAACGTAAAAGTGAACTACAGTAGAACCTCGATAAGTTAAAGTGCAAGGGAAACACAATTTTTTTTAAGTTACAGAGGTTTTAAGTTATAAAGGGTCTATGTTATAGAGGTTTTTAAGTTACCGAGGTTTGAGTTATCGAGGTTCTACTGTATGTCGGTCTTCATTATTTAGTTAATTAGAAGCTTTTTTAAGTATAACGTAGTATGTGACTTGTATGGTTTTGTTTTTAGACGTGCCCTCTCCCTGCTCGCGGGGGGGTTGTTCCTGCCGGGCTGCGCGGGGCTGCCGGACCCCTGCGAGGCGGCGCACGCGCGGGCTCACACCGCGCTCGACCTCGCCGCGCAAGACCACGCCGCAGCCACCGCGCAGACGTCAGTATACCTCATCACACCGACAACATACCTCACTGTACATTTCCACATCGACAACATATCTCACTGTACATTTCCACATCGACAACATACCTCACTGTACATTTCCACATCGACAACATATCTCACTGTACATTTCCACATCGACAACATACCTCTCTGTACATTTCTACATCGACAACATACCTCTCTGTACATTTCCACATCGACAACATACCTCTCTGTACATTTCTACATCGACAACATACCTCTCTCTACATTTCTACATCGACAAAATACCTCTCTATACATTTCTACATCCACAACATACCTCTCTGTACATTTCTACATCGACAACATATCTCTCTGTACATTTCTACATCGACATCATACCTCTCTGTACATTTCTACATCGACAACATACCTCTCTGTACATTTCTACATCGACAACATACCTCTCTGTACATTTCTACATCCACAACATACCTCACTGTACATTTCTACATAGACAACATATCTCTCTGTACATTTCTACA